CATGCCAGAAATTCTCTGTGTGGGGGGGTTTGGTTAATGCTGGGGAAACACTAAAAAACTAAAACAAACTGAACATCAATGCTTTTACGTTAGAACAATACAATAAAGCCACTTACTCCTTATTTTGCATTTAGCTACACTAACCTGGAGTCATGATGTAAATCCTGTCTTCAAACAGGGTTCCCACGGGTCCTTGAAATCCTTGAAAGTTTGTGAATTTGAAAAATAAATATTTCAAGACCCTGGAAAGTTTGTGAAAACAGCCAAAAATTACACTTGTCCTTGAAAGTCCTTGAATGTTTTTTGGGGATTGAATGAATTTCTCTATTCACATGGCTGATTTTCATCATCTTTTAAAAAAATGAATTATAAAATAAAACAACCTTACATTTGTTGCGGTGGATAACTCAGGACTACAGTAAACTGACATCATTGTTTCTGACTTCTATGTTCAGTTTTTCATTGAATTTACATGATATTAGACCTGTTTATTGGTAACACTCTGCAGTAACAGGAGGTAACTGCCGTTGCRCGTGGTTCTTTAATTTGAGGAAATTGGTACTGGAGAGTCCTTGAAAGGTCCTTGAATTTGAATTTGTTGACCAAGGTGTGGGAACCCTGTTCTTCTTCAGATACAGAAGTTCAATTGCTTTGTCATTTTTTCTTTTAATTTTCCATGATGTAAGAAAATACGTGTTCAATAGACTGAAGTCAATATGAAAACCACCACTGTTAAATAAAATGATTTGTAGAAAGGATAAAACCATACAACACCAGAATTCTGGAACCGAGTGAGGTTTATTGCCACCGGAGCTGACAGGAAACCACACTGGCCAAAAACCAGGAAGATCATCAATTTATATGTGATTCTTCAATGCCTGAGTTCGCCCCCTACTGACCTACGGCTGAATCACAGGCATTCAGACAAAACTCTCATCTAATGTTATTATAACGTTTTAATTATGTGTTGTTATAATTCGGACATGTAACTAATCTATATTAGTTAAAACATAATAGATTAAACATTATCAACATTATAAAAAGGAAAACCTAAAAATATAGTGTTGTGCTTTTAACATCAGTAC